TCAGTCATTTGGTCATTCCTCACTAACCATCCCAGCCCACCTGCTTGTAGGCAGCCATCTTGTGAGGGTGTGAAAGTTAATTTGCACATTACCTCTTTATTATATAAGATGCCTGGGATAAATGAAGGAACTGTTCTACTCTAGCTTTATTTAGAGTAAGATCCATGTCCAATGCTTCCTTATGTTTTTAATCATGCCTTATCAGAGCTGGCTCTCAATAAAGGTCTAGGTACTAACCAATGCCCAGTTTCAGAGACAAGGAGAACACTGACACTCCAAGAGAGAAGAGTGTTTTATTTTGTCTAAAGTGTCATAGCAAACTGATGGCAAAGCAGGCACTCATACCCAAGGTATCTATCTGAATATTTTAAGATGCTGCAGAAGATTTCTAAAAATTCTTGTTATACTATGCTTAAAATTCTTTTTTTGTGTGCAAATTTTTACCTATCACAAGAGAAACTTCTTTAAAATATGACAATCTTATAAAGATTGTAAGACAGTAAGGGCAAAGCCACATTCAACTCCACTTTCTCTGCCTCAGTGCACCAGGATCTGCTCTACAGACCAAGAATGTCTTGCATTTGGCCCTGAAGCACCAGGATCTGTGAGCTGAGGGCTGGTGGAGATATCAGTGCACATCCATGAAAGGTCTTTTTCTAAAATAAATTTTAAAAAGGGCAGATTATGATTGATGGACCCACCATTAGGATAATGTTATCAGATGTACTTTCTACTTCTGTCCTTTATGAGGCAGTCATATTATAATCATGTTAGCACTGAGCACAGTGCTTTATAAATGTCTCATGAGTAACTTGGTCATAATCAACTAGCTTGGTGTGGATAAATTAAACAATTCTTGATATGTGAAGTAAATACATTTAGAGTTTATTGAAATGTCTACTAAAAGTGTTTATATAACCTTTCCAGGTTTTTCTAATGAGACCAAATTTTGAATTTCACATATCTTCAGTGAAACACAATTACCGTCACTGTAATTATAAATATATACAACTCTAACCAATTATATATTATATATCATTGCTTATAACTAAAAAAACAATAGACTGAAATAAATACATCATTAAAAATCAAAGTAGGTTTCATTTTTAAATGTGAGAAAAGAAAGTGAAGCTGTAGACATGTAAAGGCTTCTACAAATGCACCAAATGCCTTTTCAGTCACTGGCAGGAGACAATAAAACTAATCGTCTATACTCAATGATACCATTCCTTTCATCATATTATTTTTGTCTTTTTTGCCATGAATTCCTTAGCGACAGCTTAAAGGCATGCTTTTGGATACAGAATACTAGTCCATACAAAGAAATGAAAGCTTTTTGTTACCACTGTGAATGTCATTTCTTTGGGATTTTATACTTTAGACTTATTACAAAAAATTCTTTTAGTTAACTGAAGATATACCAATCCAAATTATAATTGTACTAGAGCATAATTTCTCTAAACCTATTTCATAAGAACTAAATCCCATATAAACTACTCAGTCATATAACAGTAATATCAAAGTAATAAACTTTGATAATATTATAAAATAATACAAAAATAGATTTGTTCATGTATTAATAGTTAATGAAAATTCATGGAAAATGGAAATATTTTCACGTTTTATAATACCACCCAGACTTTGCATATTAGAAAAATATTCATCAAATAAATATTTCTTCAGCATGAAATAAGATATGTTAGATAATCTGTTAAAATTTTTAGTTTTAACACAGACATCTAAAATGACATCAGTCTAATCATTTCCCATCAGTATGATGGCAAAGCTGACCACAAGTTGGAGAAAAGGAAACTATGATGAGAGTATGGTGAAGAAGCACTTCAAGGTGAAGAAAAGCAGTATAGGAGATGCTGAGATAGGAAAGCAGCTGTAGACACACAGCTATATTTTGTCTTTTCATAGCTCTGTTGCTTAAAATGTTCCCAGAATCAGCTGTTTATCCTTCAGCTCTAACTCTGATGCAGCCAAGAATGGCTACTATAGAAGTAAAACATTTCCTTTCTAGTCTGTATAGTATGTTCAAGGAAAACCAAAGGAAAGAAGAATAAACACTTCTCAAGCCACCTTTACATTAGCAAGGAACTCCCTACATATGATTGATTCGACCTGGCACTGCATCCAGTACTGTGGAAAACCAAGACTGAGGCAATTTGATTTCTCTAAATATGCAGAATTTTGTGGAAATATTTCACTCCATGGCATAAAGGTTTAGTTCACAAGTCTTGTTAGGTTCATTAATGACTATAAGGTAACAGGAACAGGAATTTGATTTAGAAGAGAGAAAAATCCCAGTGCTTTACTTTCATTTCTTCACAAATACAAGTTAGAACTTATTACTTATAACAAAAATGTACAATTCATTTATGAAAATGTTTTATGATAAGTTCATTAAAACACAAGTATTTATATCTCATATTTTTGTCAGTTATTAAATTTAAATCTTTTGAATATGTGAGACCAAATCTTTGAGGGACAGTTACTTCACCATATGAGATGCAATCCTTATAGCTCCCAGTGCATTGTATAAATAGTTACAGTGTTATTAGATGGTGAAATTTATTTTAAACAAGCACAGTATTGGCCTTACAGTTTTCTTTGCAGTATTTGAGCTGTTTGAAAGACAAGATATAAGAGACATGGGGTAAATAACACAAGCAAGGGCCTACAACCAAGATTACTCTACCTAGTAAAGCTATCATTTAGAATGGAAGACCAGGTAAAGAGCTTCACAGACAAGAAAAGCTAAAGTAGTTCATCATCACCAAGACAGTATTATATGAAATGTTAAGGGGTCTTATTTAAAAAGAAGAAAAGAAGACCAAAAATGTGATTAATAAAATGGCAATGAATACATATTTATCAACAGTTGAATCTACTAGTATAAACAAAATGAACAAGAAGAACAGAAACAAACTTACAGATACAGGGAACTTTTTGTTGGTTGCTAGATGGGAGAGAGGTTGGGGGCTGAGTGAAAAATGTGAAGGGATAAAGAAGTACAAATTGGTTTTTACAGAATAGTCATGGGGATGTAAAGTAGAGCATAAGTAATATCCTACCTAATAAAAGAGTAATATGCAAATTAATCATCCACTCAGTTACACCCATCAGCCATGCCCAACAGACATTAAGAGTGAGTATGCAAATTAACCCCAACCAAGATGGCTGCCACCACAGAGAGCAGGAGGCTTGGGTTTCCCGGGCAATGGAGGAAGCCAAGCTTTCCACACACCCTGGCCAGCCCAGGCCTCCACTCAAGAATACAAAATTTCAAATATATTAGGTGAATAAAACCCAACAGAAATGGCTGCTGCCACTGAGCAAGCAGAAGATTTGTCTTTGCTCCAGGCTACAAAGTTTCAACTATAGAAGATAAATATATTCCAAATATCAGGGCCTCCACTTGGGTTGCCAGGGGGCATGGCTGGCCTTCAAACCACCACAGGCCCCTTGCCCAGGCTGCCCCACATCCCAAGGGAACCCCCACCCTTATCTGGGACTCCCTTCAGGACAAACAGCTGGCCCCCACCCATGCAGCAGCAGGCCTCTATCCTAGCTAATAAAAGAATAATATGCAGATTTACCATCACTCCAACACACAAGATCAAGATAGCTGCCCCCAGGTGGTCACGGGATGGTCACCACAAGATGGCCATCAGGGGAAGGCAGTTGGGAGGGACCAGGTCTGCAAGGAAGGGGAATTGGGGGCAATCAAGCCTGCAGGGGAGGGCAGTTAAGGGTGACCAGGCTGGCAGAGGAGGGAAGTTGGGGGCAAACAGGCTGGAGGGGAGCAGTTAGGCATCAATCAGGCTGGCAGGGGAGTGGTTAGGGGGTAATCAGGCTGGCAGGCAGAAGTGGTTAGGGACAGGCAGGTGAGCAGTTGGGAGCCAGCAGTCCTGGATTGTGAGAGGGATCCCAAATTGGAGAAGGTGGAGGCCCTAGTATCTGAGATTTATTTATCTGCTACAATTGAAACTTTGTAGCCCAGAGTGGAGCCAAGCCTTCCTATGGTGGTAGCCATTTCTGTTGGAATTAATTTATCTTCTATAATTGAAACTTTATAGCCTTAAGTGAAGGCCTTGGCCAGCCAGGGTATGCGGAAATGTTGGCTTCCTCCATCACTGGGGAAACCCAAGCCTCCCTCCTGTTCTCTTCCTAGCCACAGCCATCTTGGTTGGGGTTAATTTGCATACTTGTTCCTTGTTGGCTGGTGGGCATGGCTAGTGGCCATGGCTTGCGGGTGTAGTGGAGTGATGGTTAATTTGCATATTACTCTTTTATTAGATAGGATTAGCACCCACATGAAAACTTTTGTTCAACCAACTGAATTCAACAGAATGAGCACAGAAAAAATGATCCAACAATTTTTGGCTACTTTGCTTGCTTAAGTGACTAGTTTGGACCTGATTTATAAACATGTTAAAATCATTTAGATTATTACATGTTTTATTGGAACACTCAGGCACCTGTCATACAAATTTAAAAAGTAAGGACATTTTCCCAAAGAATGTTTTCTAGATGGGTGTTCTCTTAAAGTCAGCATATTATATTGTAAGCTATGCATCACAGCTTATAATTTTCTCCATATAAATATAAATATGCTCTAAATTAAATTATTTTGTTTTGAATAATTTATGCATGAAAAAGAAAGCATATTTAGTCAGTAGAAAAAAATAAGGAGTGGGAATTTATTATAAGCATTTTAGAATATGTTACATTAGTCAACAGATGCTCATCTGATTGTCTTCTCCTAAGAGAGCAAATATAACTAAGTTAGCATTCCTTTATTAGTCCTCATGAAAGGAATATCCACTCTACAACAGAGAATGGTGTCAAAAGACAACAGTAAAATGTTTTGTTTTTCCTCTTAAGTTTTTAACCTCATAAATGTTAAATGACAATTTGTTAATAGTTAGAAACAAAACAAAACTACAGAGTATTTCTATTTTCTGCTGAAGCAAAAACAAAATCTCTCTTACCATCCTGTTGATCCTTACAAAGTCTTCGGGTTTTTTTGCCCAAGGGGGAAGATCAACATTATTTATTACCACTTCATCTTCTCTGACTCCAAGACTATATCCATTACTATTGACAAACATCTCTGGTAGGTAATAGAACTCTGGAATCAGTTCCTGCACAAAATAAAAATGTAGCATATTAAACGACTTTAAAAATCAGTTGAATAACACTGTCAATTTATAATTTAACTAAATAGAATTAAATAATTTATTTAAATCTAATATTTTATTAATTTATTTTATTCTTAATTTAATTTTATTTAGATAAGAATCTAGGAAGACATTTTTCTTGAATAATTTGCTTGATAAGTTATCTTTATAAGATTTCTAATCTTATCTTACCACAAATTAAGAGAAATGAGTTATAAAATCAATAATAGTTCACAATAGCATTAGTAAAGAAATATATAAGGCTATATTTACAAGCCTATGTTGTTCAGTAAACTTTTCTGAATATTATTAATGAAATACTCACATTAAAAATAAGTTTTTGTCAATATTGGTTAAAAATCATGTCTCCTACTTTTTTCTGACTATATTGGCAATTACAATGCATAATTTCTATAAAGAGATTCAGTTTAATTTTGTAATTTTGCAAAATAAATTATTTTTATACTGACTAATAAACATAATGGCTATAAGAGATAATATGCAACATAATAAGTTTTTTTATTATGAAATATATTTTATTGACTTTTTACAGAGAGGAAGAGAGAGGGATAGAGAGTTAGAAACGTCATTCAGCTGCCTCCTGCACACCCCCACTGGGGTGTGCCTGCAACCAAGGTACGTGGCCCTGACCGGAATCAAACCCAGGGCCTTTTAGTCCACAGGCCAATGCTCTATCCACTGAGCCAAACCGGTTTCGGCCATAATAAGTTTTACCTGTTTAATGCATGACACCTCAATAGTAAGTTCTTAATAAATTGGATGCAAATAAAATGTGTGTTATCTGCATGTAAGAAAGATATTAACAACTGGGATCAAGGCAAATGTGGTTGATATAAAAAGACTAACGTGGTTTTTGTCACTTGAGAATAAATCTGATATTTAAATGAACTGATTTTATGACCCTAAAAGTTTTTATTGTTTTGCTTTTTGATATAGCAACTGGAGAAAATGAAAACAGAAAAACCACTGAAGTTGTTATGTATACATACTATCTATACCATGAAAAAAATACTGATCTTTTCCAATACCAAGGTGAGAATTATATTAACTTTAAAATATATTGTGAAAAGCATAAGGACATTTATTTGTGTGATATATAATCAAACCTCACTGTGGTCTTGTCTAGTGATATATATCACATTTTAAAAGACTACCAGGCACCGAGTTCTTCAAATAAATTGGATTCTTCAGCTCCCACCTCCCTCAAAAAATCATACACAAAAGTTTTCAGTCAAGATGATAGAGTAGCTAAACTGAGTCCTCACCTCCTCCCACAACCACATCAAAATTACAACTAAACTATAGAACAACCATCATTAAGAATTACCTGAAATATAACTGAACAGAAGTCCTATAACTAAGGACATAAAGAACAAGTCCCATAGTGACTGGTAGGAAGGGCAGAGATACAGAACAGGCCGGTTCCATACCCAAGTGTGGCAGTTAAAAATCAGGAAGATTATCTCAGTTGTGGAGGTTCTACCTGAGGAGCGAGGGGTTCCAGCACCACAGCCAAACTCCCAGCCCAGTATTCTAGGGCCAGGCGGAGAAGTCTCCATATCATCTGGCTCTGGAAAACTAGTGGGATTATGCTAAGGTGACCAGACAAAAGTGGGACAGTCCCGCCAAAAGCAGGACATCTGGTCACCTTAATTATGGCTGAATGAAAAGAAGACTATTGAAGTCCAAGGAGTTATTTTTAAAAGGCCGAAGCACAGAATTACTCAAACTTATTCTCTCTGAGCTCTAGTGCTAGGCCAGCATTTTGAAAGGCACCAGGGACATATATATGGTGAGGAACTGAATTGTCTGGCATCAGAATGAGAGCTGGCGGGGTAGCTTTCTTCCAGACAGAAGTGCTCACAGAAACCACTGTTTATTTGCTGAGCCTTCCCTGACATAGCCTGTAGGCAAGTCCCATGTCCAAGTCTCTGTCAATTTTTAGTGACTTGAATGTTAAAAAGGAAATTGAGGAGGGTTGAAGGAAAAACTAATAGGTAAACCAACAGCTTAATTTACAAATAATAATATAGATTAGTTGGTGGATAAGACTGGGTAAAAGGATACTTCAGCAATATTAGATCAGCAAGAATTATAAGGAATAAATTTCTGGGCTGGGAAAGCATAACAAATAGTATCATATTGTGTTAAAGAAACAATGTTGTAAAGGTATGGAGTCTCTAATTAGGAGGCAGAAGTAAAGAATCATTGCTATTCTCATATATTTGTACTCAAATCAGAAATGCATAATGGTTATAAATCGAACATTTTTATTTCCCTAAAATTCAAATGTTGAAACCTTTGTAGGTAATTAGCATTGGATGAGGTCATGTCCTTGTTAGAGTTCTGGGAGAGCTTGCCCCTCTTTGTTATGTGAAGACATAGCAAGAAAGTGGCCCTGTATGAACCAGGAAACAGGCTCTCACCAGACACATAACCTGGCCATGTGGGTGCCCTGATCCAACTCCAGAGCTGCAAGAGAGAAATTTCTGTTGTTTACAAGCTACCTACTTTATGGTAAAATATAGCAGCTCAAGCTAACCAAGATAATAATTAACTTGTCATTTCAATCCATTAAGATAAAACGTACAGTTTTCTTTTGGTCTTTCTCTCACTCTTTGGTAAAAGATGTAGAGAAGATAAATAACATTGCTATTTGAAAATTACCCATTTTGTATGACACTAAATAGCAATAGCATCCCAAATGGTCAGAAGAGGAAAAGGAATATAAGGCCATGTAGCTGCTGGTTGGGGCGTAATAGGCTCTTGGAAGTCAGGGATTTCCCTACTGCCTTTCATGTTGTTTGTATTCATGGCCTATCTCTAGAACTAGACGATAGAAGATTCCTCGAGGACAGAGAGGGGTATATATCCATGTGGATACAGCAGCATGTGTATTTTTAAAAACAGCCCAAAGACTCTCAATTTAGCTTTAACTTTCTTAGTGCTCTAATATTTTTTCACATATTATTCTCTATTCTTTCCTTACAATTGGGGCATATAAAATATGTGGTTACTTACCATTATAATAGTATTTCACTAAATATCGTTGAATTAAATTCACAAAGTTATAAGAAGCCTATATTTTATTTTCACAAAAATTTGAGCTAAAACAGATTTTAAGCCTTATTTTGTAAGGTTTATATATTATTGAATTCCCCCATAGTTCTTGGTGATATACTTTGTATACATCAGGTGCTCATTAAATATTAAACTACTGAAGATATTAGATAAGTTATTTTAATATCAGTAGAAATCTTCAGGGGACTGGGTTGGGAGAATGCTTCAAGTCATGAAAAAAGCCAATGAAGCAGATTATTAAATAAAAGTGTAAGAGGAGCCTAGAAACAAAATGTGTTACTCTTGAGGGGAAATTTTGCAGTTTTTTAAAAACAGTTATCTGGGTTATTCTAGTTTTAGAAAAGTATAAAAAGTTAAAGTTAAATTTAGAAAAGGTTGTTTTTAAAGTTGCCAGCAAAATTGTACACAAAGTGCAGAACTGACAGAAGCAAGACTTATTTCATTTTAATTGAAGACTCTAGAAACAGGGGGTGGAGAGCCACCATCAGACAGAACGAAACAAAGCTGAAAGGGCTGTGCAGAGTGCAGGAGGAAGAGCACTCTGGGAACACTCGGGAGGACTTCAGTTGGGGCCAGGCACTTGCACAGCCTTCAGGAGGACCTCACAGGAGACTTTTTCTCTACTCCAATATTCATCTGGCCACTCAGAATATGGTCATAAATTGGAGTGTTAATTAAGATGTTAGTGTAAACTGAAATAGGCTTGATGTCTGAAGGGACAAAGAAACCCTCAGATTTCTAATAGTGGGAACAATCACAAAACAGACACATTTTTAAAGCAAAATGAACACATTCTTGAATTGTAGCTTATTTGAAAGATTCCTAGAAAAGACCTGAAAATAATTAAACTGTCTGAACCCTGAAGTTCCAAGCCAGGGAAGTTTTTATGAAGGGGAAGGGAAAATGAGTAAAATCACAAAAAATCTAGAAGTCACTGAAGCAGCACAATTTATGCCTCTGTCTTAATGTTTTTAAATCTTGTTTCAAATGGCATTTAAAATTTAAAAGTTAATATGTAAATGTGAAATTACACTCACATTTATATTAATTAGAAATCACTTATTTTTAAAAGTAAATCTAATGAATAAGAGATTCTCATCTCTGACATTCAACCTTGAAGTCACAGAACATGACAGAACTGTGCGTGCTCTGAGATAAGGAGTCAGCTGAAGCATGACCTCTGCTTGCTCAATCTTAAAACAGCAGGTATCATGTGTTCTTTTGTTTTGTTTTGTTTTTGTATCTTCCTATGTCTTGGGACTATTCCAAGTGCTTTCTGCATTTCTTTTGATCTTCAAAAAACTTCATAGACAGGTATTCTTATTTTTCTCACTTCATTTATAGCCATGAACATAGAGGCAAATAGAGTTATGTAAATAATCTGATAATGCTTATGCTACAAATACATGGTTAAGCCAGAAATCAAAGCCAAACACTTTAAATCCAGGGTCCCAGCTCTCCCACTTCCTACATTTCACCTTTTAAAACAGCAACCTAGTAACTCTATCTGACTTCATTGTACTTGTCTGCACAGCATTTATTGTTTTATTTATGCCTCCATGTCCCACTGTAATAGAAATTCCATGACAGCAGGGATCTTGTCTATCTTGCTCATTTGTTCATCACTTATTTGCTAAGAAGTGGCCTCACACATAATAGATACTCAACACATATCTGTGGAATGAAAAAATAAATCAATAATTTATCATACCCTGAATTTCAGGCATGAAATAGTGATAAAAAATATTGAAGGTCTTGGCTTTCAAATTGTGTTAAGTAAAGCAGAATGACCTCACGGCTACCAGTTAGTTGTAGCTAATGGGGAGTCTGGTTGGGTAGGCAGTTGTGAAACTGTCTCTTCT